TTTAATGGAAGGTCTCTGGTCCTATTGAAATAGGTTATTGCTCTAGAATGACAACCAACAGAATATATTTTGCAGTACAGTGGTTCTTTAACTTCAAAGTTGTGAATCAAGTGGGAAGAGTGAAGTCATGGTGAGTGAAAATGGTAATGACAGGTCCCCTAATAAGAAAACATTCACAGCAATTGTATCGGTGCGCCCGGGAGTGTCACCCAAATGTCCCTGGATGGTGACTCAGGACATCTAATATGATAATGGCGTTTGGCAGAATGAAACGTACATCCCTCTGACTTTGTTTACTAAGCAGTCTTCATCTCTTCATACATCATTTATTTAAAAGGCTGCCTTCTTAAACCCCAAGATGCTGATTTGGCGAGTTTGCTTATTAATAGCTTTCGTCCTCTGAGACCGTAAAAGGATAAAAAAAGATTTAGGAGGTGCGCTCTGGACAAAGTTCCCATTTAAACTCCAAGGACACGGCCTACCTGATGACTGGCTAAAAGTAGTTCTCCAACAATGAGATCTTCCCGTCAAAGTCCCCGACTCCTGTGAGTCTTGGGTGCACTCACCCACCTTTAGGCCCCCTTTCACATAGCGTTCCATTCACATCCGCCTATCACTTTTTCAGGCGGATCTGATCAGAAGCTCAATGTAACTCTATGGGCAGCCGGATATAAATGGATATGCATCACTTTACATCCGAATCCCCCTGACAGTAAAAAACAGACTTCTGTTTTGAAGGATTTTGAAGGATTGGAGGTAACTAGATGTAAATGGAAGCATGTCCGCTTACATCTGACTCCTCATAGACCTAATATGGGTCCTCTTAGTTCAATATTTTCCTCAATGGCAAGATGTAGGACAAAATTGAATGGACACGGATGTCACAAAAGTAACATCTATTCAGTTCCAATAGAAACGATCCCCTGCCAATCGGAATGGACAGCACCAGTGTGAAAGGGGCCTTATGAGTTTTATCTCCTCCTGTTACATTCTATATAATACAAAATAAAAGACAAAATCCAGCAAATGCATTGTGGCAAGGGTCTCGCACTCCAAGTGGCGTGAATGGGCCCTTAGAGAAAAGGGTGCTTTAAGGATTTGGCAAGCAAAAACATCATTCGGGGGGTACAGGACTAGAACCAAAAAAAAGTGTTAGGCCTATCTCATTGGCCTTCCACTACACAGGATATCCCCCCTTCAGTCTATCATGAATGCAGCTGCCAGACTCATCCACTTGACCAACCGCTCAGTGTCTGCATCCCCTGCACTGGCTTCCACTCGCCCAGAGGATAAAATTCAAAATATTAACAGTCACTTATAAAGCCATCCACAACTCTGCCCCCGGATATATCTCAGACCTTGTCTCAAAATATCACCCTAACCGTCCACTCCGCTCTTCCCTAGACGTCCTGCTTTCCAGCTCCCTAGTCAACTCCTCCCATACTCGCCTCCAGGACTTCTCTAGAGTCTCTCCCATCCTCTGGAACTCTTTACCCCAACCTGTCCGTCTATCTCCCACCCTGACTGTCTTTAGGCGTTCCCTGAAGACTCTTCTCTTCAGGGAAGCCTATCCCACCTCAACCTAACCACTGAACAATCACATTCTCAAACAATTCATCCCCACACAGCTACCTCCTCATGTATCATTTCCCCCTCCTCTTTCAGATTGTAAGCCCTCAGGGGCAGGGCCCTCCTTACCATCCTGTCTTGAATTGTATTGTAATTGTAATGTCTTCCTTACATTGTAAAGCGCTGCGCAAACTGTTGGCGCTATATAAATACTATGTAATAATAATAATAATATCTCACATCAGTATTTTTTCAACTGAAATGCATACCTATGGGAGGCCGGAAGCAAGCAGACATTCACCCTCCTATATCCAGCCACTGGATCCATTTAGGTTCTCTGGACCAAATGTATGCCCTGCCCAGATGTGGGCATCCGTTTACATCCCACCACCAATAATGATTGCATGGGTGAGTTCTTCGTCCATACCAAGATGGAGAAAGAACTGGAATGAATATGGATGTCACATAAGAAACATCCATCTCCGTTCTCATCCAACTCAGCAGGGGATCCATCAAGGACAGGGATAGACAAATTATTACGGAATTCAGGAGCCAGTCTGTTCAATCCAGGAGCCAACAGGAATTTTTAAGAGCCCTCTTTATTGACAAACATTAGATAAAGCCTCAAAAGTTAGCTGCCAGCTGTAATTTTTGAAGCGCATTGGTGACCTGCTCTTGGAATTTGTCCAGCCTTGGTCTAGGATTCCTTGCTGAGACGGAACAGATTGGGCCCATGTGAAAGGGCCCTTACACTCCAACTGGATTTTAATGTTGCAAGTAAATAGCTTAGTCAATAGCAGACTGTTACAAATATTGTATTGTGCCTTCTGAGGACTTTGGCAACAAACTTGCTTTAGAAGCATTTCATAAAATATGGCAATATTTACATGCAGACAATACTTTGATTTCTCGGCTGTTCGTGGACGCTCGCCGCGTCTGTGCTTCCAGGAAGATTCAACACATATATTACTCATTACTTTCTGAAGCAAGGCACTGCGGGGGTGAGTGAAAACAACACCAGACAACATCACCGTACACATCTCTTTCAAGTGAATCATAGGAAGAGGTCTATCAACAGCCGTAATTCTTTTCTTGGGCCCCGCTGTGTATTATTTTGGCTAGAAAAACACTCAGGAGCCAAACAAGTTGAGTGAGAACAGATACAGTGCTCGTATACTCGGCTTTAGTCTATAAACAGCACTGATAGACTCTTGTCTAAAGCCACTAGACTCAGACAAAAAAATCTCAACACGTACTCTGACAAAAAATCTAAAATTTGCCCGCTCATAAAAACTCTTTGGTGGTTCCAAAAAAATTGAGTTTGCCTAATTCTTGCCCAGCCAAAGCTGCATTTAAATTAATACTAAAGCCTCACATTTTTCATGACAGATCTGACTTGGGTAGCTCAGCAGAGGATAATAAAAGTAGGAGAAGTTAAAGAACACTTACAGTTCATATCTTATCATGTTGCCCCCTGCCTGCTGTGTGCCACCTACCTGAACTTCTGGTCAGGGAGCACAAGCTCACAACTCCACAGAAAATGCCTTGATTGCCCTCCTCGATCCTACATGTCCCATAATTCAGGGCTGGACAAATCCCAGGAGCCAGGTAGCCAATGCTCTTTGAAATTTACCTCTGGCACCTAACATTTGATGTTTTCTCTAGTTGTTGTCAAGGCTCCTAACAAATCCTGCTAGCTTCTAGATTGGGCAAACTGGCTCCTGAATTCCATATTAGTTTGTTCACCCCTGCCATAATTCCAAGCACCACTGTGCATGTGCACCCTGTCCAGTCCTCTCTGTATATCGGTTCAGGCAGGATCTGAACTTATGCTTGGAGTCTTGCGCTTGGGAATGCACATCAAAAGGTAACTCTATAGTACCCTATAAGGAAATGGAGCCACCCAAAGTGGTAGTACATCTTTTTCTTGACTCAAACACCTTTCAAATCATACTTCGTGGTCAGTAGAGGTTCTCGGCATTGGACTATGGAACGGCTATAAACATTGCCTAAAGCATTATCACCTGAAAATATGTCCAGAATCTCTTCCACTTATGCATCTCTACAACCGCAGCCTACAGCTTGCTCAGCACTGTTTGCTGGAACATCCATTTGGGAAGCGCGGACTGAGCACGTCGCAAAAAGTCGCATGATTGCCTCACATGCAGTAATAGTGCTACCTCGGGAGTCGTTGTCAATCTCTTCCCTTGGGGGGGGAGCAGGAGAGTGGCTTGCTGTACTAGGTTTCTAGGCTGCTGTATTTCCTAGCCAGGAACACATGCAAAATGGTTGCTACAACAAGCCTCCATGGGACCCTACAGGGCAGTGTAAGCACCCGAAAACCAAAAAGACCCATGCAGTGAGTTTAAACGGGTTAAATAAAGAGCAATGCCAGGATTTAAAAGAAATGTACACATAAGACATGGTAAGTGCTAAAGTCAGCAGCCCTATTTCGTTCTCACATTGGAGGGTTTAATAACACTTTAGAGTTGGGTGAAAAATCAACAAGTAAAAGCATGCTCCCTGGGATAAAGGGGCTGGCCTCTGGGAGATTTTCCGTTACTTCCTGTCCATGTAACAAGTGGTCATCTAGGCAGGAAGTAAAGGAAAGTCTCCCTAACAGGGAAAACAGATTTTGAGCCGCCTTTTAAAGCTAAACGTTTGGCTGTTTGAGTTCCACTTTAAAACAATGTATATCATTAACATTAAAACTTGAACCTAAGAATGAACATAGTAGCAAGAAAATATAACTCCATAGTAGCTCCATGCTTCACATGTGTCAAAGTTTTGCAAGTACAGACCCAGATTGAATAGGCCTAGGATTTAAACTAGAGGTGGACAAATGAATATGGAATTTAGGGGCAATACTGCCCAATCCAGGAGCCAGCAGGATTTTTTTAGGAGCCATCTCCATTGATAACAACTAAAGAAAACCTCCAATTGGGTGCCAGCTGTCATTTTTAAGACACATTAGCTACCTGGCTCCTTGGATATGTCAAGCCCTAATTTTAACACACCAGGACAACCTGAGTGGTTTCTGATGAGCTTTCAGCTTTTGATTATAAAGGTCAGAAAGTGGCTACACACCACAGGCACATCACCAGGCCCAAATAACCTACAAAAACCGTCCATAGGTGCCTAGCAATTCTAATAGATCCATCCCATGTCCATGTACCACGAATAAAGAAAAACTGAGCTGCACAACTGCTGAATCCAATCATTCAATGGTTTATTGGGAGAAAGAGTACATCTCCTGCCAGACACAGGCTCCCCCTAGCTCTTTCTTCTGCAATTAGGTGGACTAAGTGGATTTAGCCATAGAGAGGCTCTATTTTTCTTTATGTTGATTATTAGGTCTTGAAGGGCATAGAGCTTTTTTTGGCAGTAACTAAAAAAAAAAAATATGAAGAGTTCCATAAACATCATCTTACCTTGGGAAGCAGGCTTGAATTTCGTATCTTGTCCACCATGTCTTTGCCTCCAGGATGGATTTTGGCCACATGAGCCCACATTCGCTCCCAGGTTTGGCTGTCGATGGGAAAGCCACTTTTGTTGACATAAAACAAACTCCCAGGCTCCTTATCCTCTTCCTCTGAATAGCCACCCGAGCTGTTGCCCGAGGCGCTGGCTGGGGCAGGTGTAAGGGAGGCAGCCAGAGGATGGTCATGAAGACTCCGGGACCGAGCGGGCTTTGTAGTCTTTGTGCCAACATTCTGCTGGTGTGTGTGGCAGTGCTTGCTGTGAGCACGAAGGAAGCTGGAACTGGACCCGGTCATACTGACAAAATTCGTCCCAACTACCGAGGACCAACCAGTTCAATACATCCCAGGATGAAGATCGTCCATCTTAAACACCTACAACTCAGCTAAAGCACATAAGGAAGGCGAAGAGAGGCCAGACAACAACTTCAAAGACCTGAACAAAAGAGGGAACACAGCAGAATAAATACAGAAGTAGTTACATATATAGGAATAAAATCTTACAAGTCAAAAGTTTAACCATCACTCTATTAAAAAACCTCCTAATGCCTATACAGATTCAGGTACTTGGATTGCATTTAAAAAATACATTTAATATCTGCTTGGTGTTTGGTTATGAATTCTGGTATGCTAAAATAATTCCTGAAATACTTACTAATCTTGGACAAACAGCTGGTCCTAAATCTAGTGGCAGCTGGTCACATGACCAAATACCTTTTTGGCCATGTGATCTTCGCTAGAGGCGAGGATTAGCCAATCTGAGCTCTGTCCCCATTTAAGTGAAGATCACATATGACAGCCATTCAGTCACATCTGCCAGCCATGGGATTCTGAAGCAGTGGTATACGGCTACTAGCTTAACGATCTACCTTTTTAACGACCGCTCAGACTTACGACCAGCCGATAGAGTACACTGTATGAGAACTTGGGTCAAGCTTATCTCACATAACCCTTTCTCAGTCTCAGTCTTGTTCCCTCGATCAGTCAGTATTCACTTCTATACTATACATCAGTATTTACAGTATGCAAACAGATCAGCCAACACTCCTTGCTCCAAGCTGGCAGTATCCTGATTAGGAACAGATAGCCAAGTCTGACAGCATAGAATGTTTGGCATCCATGCTGTACACAAGTCATGTAAGGACAGTAGAGCCGAGTATATGGAAGCTGCATGCATGTTTCAACTTTACACGGATAAAGCTTCCATCTTGGCTATCCTAGCTTGCAGAATCTAAATCTTCGAGGGGTCAGTTAACAGCACAGCAGGTATACACCATCTATTTTTCTGCCAAAGATATGCTGTTTTTTGGCAACCTCAGGTAAAATGGGTTTTTATTGGCCCTGGAAGCTCGTCTCAGACCCTATGCACATGAGAATTAAAATACATGTGTCCAGGTTTGTTTGGGTCTAATTTCTATACACAAACCTGAAAGCATATATTACTTTGCTATGGCTGAAGGCACACATAGGCGTTTAGCAGTATCTAGGTACATTCAGTCTTTCTGTGTTTAGACAAAAAATAATTTTGTGCACCCCAGGGCCATTGAGATGGATTTTATGCAGCTAAGCATTAACGACGGCTAAACCCAGGAAAAATTGATCTGGGAAGTATAAAAGTTGGTTATACTTCCTATCTTAAGCTGGCCATACACCTTACAACCATCGGAAGACTTTCGTCTTTTTTTAATTACCTTAAAACCATCGCAAGACTTTTGTCTTGTGATGGTTTTAAGGTAATTTAAAAAAAACGTACAATCTGCCTATCCTGGACAGGCAGATCGTACTTGCGATCATTGCAAGCCAGCCCTGCTGAGGGGCGGGCTTCTGATGACTGCAATGCTGAACGGGCATTGTGCGCTTGAGCACACCGGCCCGTGCGGCATTTGTCTTACAAGCAGGCCACAAACCTACCGAAAATCGTACGATTTTCAGCTGGTTTTCAAACATGCAAGACGTGCGACCGTACAGTAGAAAACGATCGCCCACCGCTGAGGGGCGGGCTTCTGATAACCGCAATGCTGAACGGGCAGTGTGTGCATGCACACACCGGCCCGTTCCGCAGTTGTCGAACGAGCACGCCACTAACCCGCCGACAATCGTACGATTCTTGGCGGGTTTTCGAGCATGCTCCTTCGACAAAAGACGTGCGGCCGTACGATAATTCGAAGGTGTATGGGCACCTTTACATACACCTACCGATTATTGAACGATCGCGGGATTTCCCGCGATTATCGTACGATAATCGCAAGGTGTATGGGCACCTTAACTTCTCATGTGTTAATCACAAGAGGCCTGTGTACATGGGGACTAATGCACCGAACTGTTTGAAAAGGCAAAAACAGCTTTAGACTGGGTCACCTCCCCCCATCCGTCGGCCTATGTCATCGGACAATTAATGAAGGAAAAAAGAAATAGTGGTAAGAGGTAAAAAAAAGGTAAGATGGCAGCTTAAGTAGTTAAAGTTTACCCCAAACTGAAATTTTAACTCAGAGGAGACTGAAAAGTGAGCTTTTAATAAGTGCAGCCTGGTGGGTTGAGTCTGCCCTGGCTTCCGACATGTCTCGAATAGGGATGTATGGGGGCTAAGTTACCCTGAGTTTACCCAACCCTGGACAAAACCGTCAGTGACACCCCCTCTCAACCCAAAAAGCTGCAGTCAGAGCACTGCCCGCCCCACAGCTACACCTAAAAAAGCGGTAGGGAATTCCCTGGACAAGCTGATTGGGCTGGAAGGGGGATGTGTCAATACCAGTTTTGCGGGGGCTCGGGTGAACTCGGTCTACAGATATCCCTAGTCCACCTGAGAGTTTTGTTGCCCTACCCCACCTTGGTGCATTTCAGCTCCTCCTTTTACATTCTACAGAATATAAAAAACAGGGGTGCACAAATTAATATCGAATTCAGGAGCCAGTCTGTCCAACCCAGGAGCCAGCAGGAAAAGTTTAGTGGCCAGCTTCATTGACAACAACAAAAATTACAGCTGGTGCCAACATTTTGAAAGGAGCGCTGGCTACTTGGCTCCTGGGGTTTGTCCAACCCCTTTATAAAATAAATACAAAATCTAGCAGGAAGAATGGGAATTCCTCATAATGGGAATAGCAAGTGTACAGACCCAGGAACTCAGCGCACAAAGTGAGGACCCCTCCTAATGGGCTACAGCAAATGTACAGACCCGGGAATTCAGCGCAGAAAGTGGAGAACACTCATATTGGGCACAGCCAGTGTACAGACCTGGAAACTCAGTGCAGGAAGTGGGGACCCCTCATAATGGACACAGCAGGTTTACAGACCCGGGAACTCAGCACAGGAAGTGGGGACCCCTCATAATGGTCATAGCAGGGTTACAGACCCGGGAACTCAGTGCATGAAATAGGGACCCCTCGTAATGGGCACAGACGGTGTACAGACCCAGGAACTCAGAGCAGGAAGTGGGGATTCCTCATCATGGGCACAGGTGTATAGACCTGGGAACTCAGTAAAGAAAGTGGGAACCCCTCATAATGGGCACAGCCGGCGTACAGACCATGGAACCCAGTGCAGAAATTTCACTAATGGAGTCCCCCAACAAAAAGAAATGGTGACATGGGGAACTCTCCAGCATCTACCAGAAGTTGAAGTATCAGTTCTGGTTGAGCTGACCCTTTATATAAAATATCCAGAGAACTCCAGTGCATCTATGATAAACATGCTGTAGTTTTCCTTCTGTATACATGTCCTCTTTAAATGGCTAAGAGTAAATCTAAGCTACATTCTAAAATGTTTACCACAAAAAAGAAACCGAGAGTTTACCCAGCAAAATTTATTTTTTACATGCAAAGATTGAGCTAAATTAAACAGAAGTGCGGCCTTCTAAAATAAGAGCATTGTTCCTTCAACAGGAAGTCAGCTGTTAACTCCATCATGGCCAGGAGACAGCTCCTAACACATTTCAGGGCCAGAGTTCAGTCCACGGTGGAAGGGTGATGTAATGCAATGCCAAACATGGCCACCTTACAGCTGTGTTTATGGACCAATATAGGTTTCAGCTGTCAATGTTGTTATTATGGGATTTTTTTATTTGGTGCCAAATATATTGAGTCTAGAATAACACTAGAAGTACTAACTTAACACAAAACACACATTAGTACTAAAACTAACCTAATAAGTGATAACAGCATTTTTATAACCTTTAATCCCTGTTCACACTTGTTCAATATAAAGCAATTTGGCCGCCATGACAAAAGGAATTCCATTATCCTCTATGGGGGCCATTCACATTTAGACAACGCATTTCCAAAAACAAACTTGGAAACATGGTGCAGGTGTTTCTTTCGGTGCATTTTTAACCCGGTAGACTTTAAATCGGACAACATTCATTTTCTTGTATTTTAGCCCATAAGCCCCCCCCCTCTATCTACCTATACTTTATTTTACCTTTATTGCACAAAACAAATGCATAACACATGAAAAACATATTCGAACACATTAAAACATGCAACAAACATCATAGTAAAAATGTATGATAATGCAAATGCACAAGTGTGATGGAGACTTCCATAAAGCCCCACTCCGGGCTGCTGCTAAATTTAGCAATGGGTATGGGTTAAATACACGTTTGGCTGGGGGGCAGGATAAGTACAAATACTTACGCCATTTTTCACTGCTACAGGATCCCTCCCCTATGCGCAACTGCTCCCCCAAAAGCCACTTCCATTCGCTACCTTGCCAAGCGCAGCTCTATTTTACGTCATCACGTACAATACACGGCCAGCAGTCCTGCATTGTACGGAAAGACAACGGGGGCCGTCCACATTTGGGAACATCAGACACGAGAAGAGAGTGCTGGCTGCCTGGAGGCGGGGAAGAAGGCAAGTATTTCTACTTATTACTTTACCCCAGCCCTAGACAAAACATTCAACCCATGCAGTGCAAGGGGGACCCCACTGCATGGCTACATTTAACAACAATAACAGTGTAGGAGCCAGCTAGGATCTCGGGTTCGGGCGGGTAGAACTGTTATTGTCTCTCCCTAGACAAAACCAGCACTTAACCCTTGCACTGTGGGGGTAGCCCCACTACACGGGTTAAGATTTAATTTGCCCGGAGTTCTTCTTTAATAGCTAAGCCTGCCATGCATGTTCCATTCCACCGTCCGATCAGACTGTCTGTGGGCTCTATCAATGGACAAGGCTTAGTCAGGGAAAGTGAAACTACATCAGAAAGGAGCACAGAAGAAGCTCCTCCAGCTAATAAAAAGGTAATAGTAGCTCAGTCTTAGTATTTGCTCTTAGGCAGGGCTTTCAAATATTTAGAATGAAGTATATGTTTACTATTCACTGACAGTTATTTTTTTTACACCAAGCTGTTAAATTCCAAAACTGCCAGTGAAATGGCAAATAAATCCAGATAAACAACGACAAGGAAAAAAAAAAAAGATTTGTGGATTTTGCATGAATT